AAGCGAGGTGCCTCTGTTGGCCCTGTGTGCCTGTCAAATCCGGCTCTGTTGACGAGTCCTCGAGGTTTCTGTCCTCGGTCCATCCTTCGATCGTTGCGGGTGTTGCGCCTCGGGGCGTTTCTCCTGTCTTCGATGTATGGCTGGTACCTTTCTTTGTTTGGTTTTGGCTCCTTTGCCAGAAGCCTGCCTAGGTATACCGAGCCCGAGGGGCCCCCTAGCTGGTCATCCTCGACCCTGATTTTCGACTGGTATCGGTTATGAACATCCGACCAAGTCACAGTCGGGTACTCGATCAGGTTCTGTTTCAGCTGTTTCGAAGCCACCAAGCTTCGTTCATTTAGACCTTGAGTGAAGGCCTGTACCACCCAGTCGTCTGAGACTCGTGGTAGTTCCATTTGTTCCATTTGAAAGCGAGATACGAACTCTCGCAACATTTCATTATCCCTTTGCTTAATCTTGAAGACTTCGGATTTCCTTGTTGTTACCTTGATGGCACCAACATGTGCCTTTATGAAAGAATCCGCCAGCATGGCAAATGAATCTATCGAGTTTGGGGCCAGGTTGTGATACCACATCATTGCCCCTTTAGAGAGCGTTTCCCCGAACTTCTTCAGCAGGACGGACTCAATCTCATCGTCCCTCAGGTCGTTGCCTTTTACCTCACAGGTGTAAGCAGTGACGCGCTCGTTAGGGTCCGAGGTTCCGTTGTACTTCGGGAGGTCTGGCATTCTGAACATCTTCGGAATGGGTTTCGGGGCCGCTTCTTGCGGGAATAGCTTTTGCACGAACTTCTTTGAATACATATCTTTCAGGATCGGGGGCGCTCCCGAAATCTAGTCGACCCTGGAATTGTAGGACTCGACCTTTTTGTCGTTGGCCTCTATCTTATTCTTGCCCGATTCGATCCTCCTTGTGAGGTCCTCGAGCATCTTTATGATGGCGTGGTCGGTTGCCGACTTATTGTTGCTTGACCTCTCTGGTACCTGCTCGGCTGGAGGAGCCGTCCCCGGTGCTACCGTGCTAGGAGTTCTCTGGTGACTTTGCAGTTGAGCAATAGCCAGCTGTTGTGCCTGTAATATTTCAAAAATAGCGTGAAGGCTAACCTCCCGTTCTTCCTGAGCTGGGGTTTTCTGGGCTTCTTGTTGGTCGCCTTGGTGAATGCTCTTGTTGGTGTGGGAGCTTATTTCGCTGTGTTGAGCGTCGCGTGAAACCGCGTCCACGGGAATTAGTTCCGGTGCATTCTCGGGGTTTCGTAGTGGTACACCAATACCTGGAACGTCAACACCGTTTCTCCATGGTCTTCGAGGTTGATGTTTTCACGTGCGTTTACTGAGTTAGACATTTGACATGAAATCAAAGATCTTGGACAAGAAAAAGTGTGAAAGATAACTTGCGTTACGTGGTTAAACCAGCAAGAAAATAATCACTATTATTTTTAACCCCACGGTGGGCGCCAAACTGTTTACCGTGAAAATGGTAATAACAATTAAATTTGATTATGAGATTCTAAAAATACGTGATCTATTTTATGCCGGTTGTTAAGCAGTTGATGCTAGTGAAAGACTTAGAAACAAGATTAGAGCTTGAGAGCAAGGTGATAACCGAACCAAACGGTTAATAATCGGGGCCTCGAGCTTGCTTTTTCGAGGACCTCGGGGTCGAGTCTGAGGCTCGGCTGGGAGCTATTAGGGATAAGCGATGGGCGACCAACAGTTAGAATAAGATCAATGACGGCTCTTTATGGCCAATAATAAGCAATAAATGATGAACAATAAATAGAACACAATGAATGCAAGCAACAAATGAAGTAATGAACTCAAGAGAATGTGTTAGAGAGCAGAGAGAGTGTTCTTATATATTTTAGTATGGAGCCACATATAACTACAAAATGACAAGGATCCCCTTTATAAATGAGGGGGAACATAGTACAGAAGCATTAATTACAAAGAAATGGGGCAGGCATAACCACTCAATGCACTGATACGGGCCAGAGCTAGACCTCTAGATTTTGTCAGTCCTAGCCATGCGCATAGGGAAATTCCCACTGTTCCATCGTAACCATCGATTTGCGCTGCCTCGAGGCTGGAAACTGATGTCCCCTTAGGGTAAGATTCGTCCGTGGCCTCGAGCCTTTGGAAACCTCGCTCCCGAGGCGTTGTAATGGCCGAAAATCGGATCCTCCGATTTTACCGTGTACAGAATTCTTCGGTGAAGAGTGGAAGCATCTCGTGTTCACGCAGGATAAGGTTCGAGGAAAAACCCCACTTCAAGGAGTGTGATGCACACAATCTATTTTGATGCAAACATTAGTGACTGATTCCTTGGCTCGAACCTATTAACTTTACCATTCTCCAAAGATTTTCAAAGGATAATCCCATACCATTTTACACAGTTGAAAAGCCAAATGAGGTAAAAGCGAAGACCCACAATGCTACTTGCTTGCTGCCACATTAGTAGGAAAGACCAATAATTGCACCAACTGGCATCCAAGTTTGTAATTGATTTAGTGGGCGTTTGGACGTAAGAATTGTAAAATTCCCAAAAAGGAAAAATATTGTGAAGATGGTATTTGAAAATTAGAGTTGTATTTAGATATGGATATAATTTTGGGTTGTTTTAAAAGTTTTATGAGTAATCTGAGTGAAAATTTTAAAAATTATTTTTTGGAGTTTTCCAAATTTTTGAACAATTCCAAAATTCATTTTTAAGTGAAAATTGAAAATTTTATGGCCAGATTTCGAAAAAAAGTGATTTTTTTTAATGTCCAAACGGGGTTAGGGCATCTCCAACAATCACTCTATTTTTTGCACCATTTTTCACTCTAAAATGGTGCAACACCAAATCTACTCCAACAATCACACTATTTTTTACACCAAATTTTCTCTCTCTTCTATATTATATTATTATCTTCTATTTACTTTTCATTTTTTATTTCCTTCAAACTAATACTATCTTTTTTCTTTTTTCCATATTCATTATATATAATTCACATTCACCACTTATATAATCATTTATTACAAAATTTTACATAAAGGACAAATTAACAAAAAGTGAAATCATTAATAAAACATAATTAAATAAATATTACATCATAGTCAAATTTAATTTATACAATTATAACAATAATAAAATTAACTTATAATTTTATATAAATATAATATATACAAAAATTAATATATCAAAAAATAGGATATAAAATTAAAATTATAAAAATCTTAATATAAAAGTTAATTATATACACAATAATAATTAATTAAAAGTTCAACAAAAAAAATGAATAAAATATTATTAGAGTAATGAATAGTGTTGCACCAAATTTGGTACAACACTATTCATGCTCTATAATAGAGCAACAAATGGAGTATTATTGGAGCAATTTTACTCTATTTCTTGTACCAAATTTGAATTTGGTGCAAAAAATAGAGTACCATTGGAGATGGTCTTAGCAGACACAAATCTCAGCAACTTACTGTTACGGTAGAAGGAAGAAGCACGGACCACCAAAGGTTTAATAGAATGATAAGTATTTTTCTTTTATAAATCTCGAATTCGAATCCTAAATAAATAATTTTTACCTTCAGAATAAATTTTTTCAACGGAACTCATATTAGTCAGGCCAAAAAAAAAAGGAAAGAAGGAGAAGTCAGGTATTTTAAAACTTGTATAGGGACGAAAAGGTAATTGGGCACTTTTTGCAGAAGGGTCCCACCCTAAACTGATCTGCATCTGCCTCTTTTATCACACTGAACCAACAAAATCAATAGCAACTGTACTTTGCAGACACCCACAGATGCTGAACTTTTAGATATTCTTTTTATAACAAAAATATTCTTTTATTACTTTCTATTCCAATTCCAACTTATTTTAACAATCTTTTCATTATTAGTCATGCAAAAAACTAACATCTTCTTATATACTATTATGTTTCATTAACGACTTCAATGTAGATCTTAACAAATATTCGTACATCCAAGGGGCTCAAAAACATTAGAGGCCTAAAGCCAAACTTTATTAGGGACCTTAAACTTTAAAAAGAAATTCATATTAATTTGGCTCATGTTTTATATTTGACATATATGTATTCTGTTAAATAATTAAAAAAATAAGTAATGGACTACTATGAGGTAAAAATATAAAAATAAGAAATTTCAAATAGAAAAAAAAAATATAGAAAGTTAAAACAATAGAACTTGATTCTAGAAGTTTATAACTTGACATCAGAATAAAATTTTATTGTTTTAATTTTTTTGTTGTAATGCTTAAGAACATGAGAAAGAAAGAATGAGAAATACTAATTTTAATTTACTCAATTTCCTCTCTTGGTTTTTTGGAGAATAGACAACTTAGTAGTAATTAGAGAAAGAAAAGTGATTATAAAATACGAGTATTATTATGAGAAAAAAAGGAATATTAATATTAGAATGTAAATTAACTATTAGTCACCATAAATCACATTGGCAAAATAAACAATTTCTTTTTCCTTGAAGATATTATACTTTTTTCCATAATATTTAATATTTTTTAGAAAAATTATCACATAATTAGTATATTATTAGTTTAAAAATGGGATCCTAAAAATTTGGGGGCCTAAAGCCATTGCTACATCATACTTTATGTGATACTTTTTCCTTGTTTGTCTGTTCCAAAATAATATTACATTTTTCCATTCAGAATTTAAACTTATATAATCTTATTATCCTCATTTTACACTTGGTGACGCGACTTATCCATATGAATTAAAAAAATTCACCTTTTTAATACGAGAAAAAACATGAAAGGGGTGTGAAATTTTCACCACATCTCATTGGTCATTCACATATATTTAGCTTATCTATAATATATTTTATTTTTAAACTTTATGTCCAATCAAACGGAAAAAGTTTTTATTTTTATTTTTTTAGTTGGCTTAAAAAGAGGGCCCAAGGAGGGGGGGGGGGGGGGGAGGAGTGGTTAATAGGAACATAAAGAGAGTGTGTGTCCCAAAAAACTGAAAAGAAAGATTGAGAAAGAAAGAGAAAGGGGTATTTATGGATGATAAAGAAAGAAATAGAAATATTGATCCCCACACTATTCTTGTGGTAAATCCCAAGCAAAGGCACATCCTTTTGCTTTTAGCTGCCTCCAAAGATACCATTTTTCTTAAGTTTCTTCACTCTCTGTAATCTTGATTTTGTTTTTTTGTCCTTTTTATCTGTGTTTATAATGGTGGGTGGGTAGTCAGTAGTGTAATGTAAATATCCATTATCCAGTTGCATTTAATTTGATCTCTCTAGGATCAGTAAAAACATGTCCTGTTCTTTCTTGTTTTATTCTTTCACCTTCCTTGAATTCTTGTCTGCCTTTGCTTCTGATAAAAAGAAGCTGTTTTTTCTCAATGGAGTTATGTTGGTCTCTTCCCTTCTTGTAAGTCCCTTCCACTCTCTCTCTCTCTCTCTCTCTCTCTCTCTCTCTCTCTCTCTCTCTCTCTCTCTCTCTGTGTGTGTGATCTCCTTGTCAAAATGGGTTTCTTGAGATTCAATGTTTATTGTGAAGATTGTGTTTTTTTGTTTTGTTTTGATTGATTTCTTATAAATATCCTTGTTATTTTTTATTTTTCTGTTTAAGTAGTGTTTTGCTTGCATGCAGTTCCTTAATGGTGTTGGTCAAACAGCAAAAAAGGAAATAGCTTTACATATAACATAAGCATTAAGCTCCAGTGTAGTGTAGTTTTCATGGGTTCTGTTGCAAATTTTCTTCTAAAAGAAAAATAAAAAGACAATCATTTTGTGGTCTTAAATCTTAGCTATTTCAGTTGTTTAGCCTGGGACTGTTTAATGTTTATCTGTCTCATAAATTAGTTTTCTTTGTGTACTTTTATTCTATTACAGTTTAAAAAATAGAATATAAGAAAAGGACAAGATTAAGGAAACAATAATGATTGAGCTCACAAGACTCGGTCAGTAATACATTGTTTGTTCTGAATGTTCTGTTTGTTCTCATTAGCTGATTAGTGAACTGTTTGGCCAGCTGAAAAAATGTCATCTTTTACAGTTGGATTATGAAAATGCTACTTTAGCCTGCAGTTTTGTTCTTTGCTGTTTATGATTGAGAGTAGAACAAATTACATTAGAATTTATCAATTTTGGCATGATACTGCATTATGGGTTGCGAACTCGTATTGGGTTTTAGCACATGGATCTCTGGTAATGCTAAGTGACTGATTTTGGTTAGTTGAAGCAGATCACAAAAGTTGCTGCCATGTGAGCAGGAGGTCACGGGTTCGAGCTGTGGAAACAGCCTCTTGCAAAAATGCAGGGTAAGGCTGCGTACAATAGACCCTGTGGTCCGGCCCTTCCCCGGACTCCGCCGCATAGCACGAGCTTAGTGCACTGGGCTGCCCTTTTTTTGTTAAGCAGATCACAAAAAATGCCGAGAGAAATTTTACCGGTTTCAGCATGTGTTGCTTATCTGATCTTGAATTAGGCTAGCTACTCATCCAAGAAGTGCTAGTTTTGGATCATATAAAGCTATTTGTAGTGGATTCTTGGGATACTAGCTACTCAATGAAAGAGGAACTAACTGGATTCTTAAAAAAAGATGAAATATAATGAAGGAACTGAGACCTACGATACAGCGTTAACTGTGAAATTTGTGAAATTTTTATGTTGTACAACAGCTAGTGTTCCTTGTTATTTCAACTGTAGTAACTTCTTCAGCTTCTTTATGGCTAGAATTTCTCACATTGTGTGTAATTCGTATGGAATTAAACGATGTGTTCATTCTCTGCTATAGTCTATAGGTGAAAATATATTTTACAACTGGTCTTTCTTCTGCTTCATCTTATACCTTTTTGATTTTAAGTGGTGACTGCATGCAACTACAGGATTGGGGTTGCAATGTAAGAGGTCCTTGCAACAGTTCATAAACTTGCAAAACTCAATTGAACAGCTGATTAAGGTTTCATTTCTTGGGAGAGCATAATGTTGGTTAGCGGCGATTATGATCTGAGTTTATCATTGCGGTATGAGGAACCTGTGAAAGAAGCTCTCAAGGATACAATTCTCAGGCAAGAATACACATTCAAGAAGCAGGTACTTAATCATACCTACTACATATTTTGTTTGAGACCTCAAAGTGAAAGTAGCCTAATTCTTAAAAAAGTTTCGTTAATCATGACATAATATAGAAGATGCCATGAGTATATTACTTGTAAACATTGTATATGTACCGAGTTGTTAAATAAAGCAGCATATATACGTAAGAAAATCAGAAGAAGATGAATCAGATGTCGTGGAGAAGATGTTCCTGTTCTTTTCTTTATAATCCACTTTTTCTATTTCTTTAGGTTTATGAACTTCACCGTCTGTACGACACACAAAAGAGCATGATGAAGGATCTGAGTTGGAAAGAGTTGGATGCGGTTAATTTTAGCAGAGAAGGCCGACAAGCAAATCCAGTTGCATTTGGAAATTGTATCAGACCTTCATCTATGCCTGCAGAGAAGAGAATTTGCAGCGTCCCTAAGGTAATTGAATACAAGCATATTTGTAACTCGCCATAAGTGATTCTAGTTTTTGCTCCTTTTGGGTTTGTCTTCCTTTGCTAACCACTACATTAATGTGCTTCAGGTGTTCAACTGGTTACAAGAGCAGCGGGGCACCTTTCCAGGTTTCCAGCAACAGCTTTCTAATCCTCAAATTTGTTCCCCTCATTATCTTGATCATATTGCGGATAAAAATTTGGATAAGAGACATGGCTTGTGCAGTAGTCTAGAGAATTCAATTGAGAGAAACCATTATTACCATGGTGGTGTCGTACATCGTCCTGAGGAGGTTAATCTTTCACTGAGCATTGGTAGGAACCATCTGAAAACAAGTGCCAGAACAAAAACTTTTAATCGTATAATTGATTTAGAGGAATCAGATGAAACACTGCCTGATACTAAAACAGGTGGCCGATCAAAGACTTGGAAAAATATTATTGATTTAGAGGAATCGGACCTCACATTGTCTAATGGAGAACTAAAGCCCAAGTCTCCTCTGAAGCCTGTAGCTCAAGCTTCTTATGCTGGATATAAGCGTGATTACCAATCCACCCACAGCTTCAATAACAGCATTAAGAATAATTGGTTTGATGGGACTCCAAGAAATTATTTTGTTTCAGATGGCAGCACGATTTGTGTGGAGCAGAACTCTTTCGCTGAAGGTCTGACAGTTCCTTATCTTTCTTCCGTAGCTACAAATATTAAAGGCAAATCACTATCAATATCATGCTTCTCTGTGTTTATCAAAACTCTGCATATTTTGCAGGAGTCGAACAATGTGAGGGGTCTCTCCTCTCCAAAGATATATCAGTAAAGAGAAAAATTATTTTTTCTGATGAACGGGCTTTTCTGGACCTTAACAAATCCTTGCCTGATGATTCTAATTGGAGAGAGCAAAATGATAACAGTTCAAATGAGACCTCTGCTTTTGTTCACCAAAGAATCCTTAATTCTGCAACTGGAAGCAGCAGCAGTGGTTATAAGAGTATGGAGAATGTTGGAGTTGACCAGTTCTCCATAAACCTCAATCGGCCACTTCCAAACAATAGTGAAAGTCCTTGCAGCCTGATTAGGAATTCCAAATACAAGAAACCCGACTTGATCGTTGAATTTCTGGAAAGGGATGATCAAGTTCCACGTACACCAGAAATGAAAGTCAAGAAAGCCAAACACGATGCCATGTCTTCTCCTGAATGTAAGACTCCAGATATTGTTAAGGATACTGGTTCTGACAGATGTCCTTCGTCAAGCAAATCTTCTTGTCTTGAGGACATCTCAAGTGGCGTAGAGACCATGCAATCTGGAATTCAGTCGGGAAATTCAAGTTCTTCCCACTGTAATGCATTTCAAAATTCTGAAACACTTGAAGCAAATAAATCTCCGCACCAGGAGGATGTCGACTCTTCCAGTAACAGTGATGACCAGAAGGGAAAAACATCAGAAGTTGATGGTTTGATCATAAGGGGAGCAGTGTCTCTCGTCTATCTTGCACTGGAATGTTCTGAACCAAGCAATGCTAACAACATGAACAAGATTAAAGGGGAAAATATGGAACAGCCACAGTGTTCTTTGGACAGTTTTGAAGAAATGGTGCTTAAACAACCTGAAAGCTCAGTTGACGACTATTCTGCAACCTCAAATGCATTTGAAGTTAACGACACAGAAGGAAAGGACAATGGAATAACATTGAAGAGAGGAAGGAGAATGAAAGATTTTCAGAGGGACATTATGCCAAGCTTAGCAACACTATCTAGGCATGAGATTTGTGAGGATATAAAGATTATGGAGACAGCACTTAGATCAAGAGAATACAAGAGACTTAGGTCCAAGACGACAAGCGGACACAAGTGGTTCAATCCTGTGAGAAATAGGAGGTCTAGACTCAACTATGTAGGTCGCAAGCATTATTCATGAACTATTGATTTGATCATTGGTAGTAGGAGCAAATAGTGACCAATTTTAGCACAGAAAGATAGATCAAGGAGCTTTTTTTGAAACTTGTCACTCTTGACCATGATACTATTTTTTGACCTTCTTTGTTAAGAGTTCAATTTCAGGGCATACTTAATTTGCTCAGTATTGTTTCTAAAAGGGCAGCCCGGTGCACTAAGCTCGCGGGGTCCGGAGAAGGGCCGGACCACAAGCGTCTATAGTACGCAGCCTTATCCTGCTCAGCATTGTTTCTATGCCTCTTAATTCCCTTTTCTTCTTTAAAAGATTTGCCTAGGAAAGGTTTGTGAATTTCTTTAGTTTTCTCTTTTCTTTTTTGGGTCTGCTCCAACCCAAACAGGCAAACTCATTGCTTTAAGCCCAGCAAGTCGAGGCCCCAAGAATTAATAATAGGATTAGTTACCTCCTATAACAAAGATTGATACCTTATTTATTTTAAATAAAACCTTTTTAAAAAATTATGTTCCATAGCTACCTTTTGATTTTTGTATAGTCAAATATCTATTTATGGTCAACTCTTACCATTAAGCCATAAAATAAGCTTTGTATTATTTTTCTCTCATATCCCCTCAAATTTCTCCTATCCCCTACCCCATATCTATTTTTCCTCTCTCTCTCACTACTTTCCGATGTCTTCTCCTCCGCGGGACGCTGGAGCAATTGCCACCATCACCGTTTCGACCGTGGCCATTATTTATTAATACCGCCGCCCTCAGCCTCCCAATGTCTTTAGATCTTTTCATTAAAATTACTAGCATGAATTTCTCTGCGAGATCTTTTCATTAAAATTACTAGCATGAATTTCTCTGCGGGAAGCCAATGTAATTTTGACAGCAGAAGCAACCAACTGAGATGATCTGAAGATAGTCAAAAGATAATGTCCCACTAAGGGTCTATATAGTTGGTGTTAGATTCATATCCTGGTCCACAGTTGAAACCCGCCGTCACCGTTATTTCGCCGGTAATTATGTGCTAATCGTCGGCAACCGGAGGCAACGGTGGCGGCGAGCAAGGACTGGATACTGATGCTGCTTCAACGAGACGACATTAGGGTTGTTCTTAAACGAAGACGACGGAGTTGGGGGCTGAGTAACTTGAATTTTTTGTTAATATATTTCAATGTATCTCGCTGTATTTCATTGTATTCATTTTCTTTTTTTTTTTCATTGTATTTCAATGTATCTCGCTGTATTCTATGTATTTCATTGTATTCACTCTTTCGCTATATTTCGTGAATGTATTCGTATGTTTTTTTTAATTAATATAATTTATGTATTCAGATGTCTTATATAATTTCTCTGAAGATTGCTATGTTTTTGGGGTGTTTTTCGGTTGAGAATCTTTTTTATAACTGGAAATACAAAACTTGTGTGTTATAATTGAGTTTGTTGAGTTATATTAGGAGTCTATTATGTTAATTGATTCACTTTCCGTTTAAAAATAGTGTAATCCCTTGTTTCACGCCGTGAATACAGTCGAATACAATAATCTGTCCAGTTGTAATCCCATGTTTCATGCCATGAATACAATCGAATACACTCGAATACAAAAATCTGTCTAGCTATAATCCCCTGTTTCACGCCTAGAAATGCTATTGTATTCATGAATACAATAGCTTAAATACATTGAATACACTCTAAAAAACTTGAAAACATAGCTATAGGAAGTAATATAGTAAATGGTAGCTACAACTAGCTAATAACCACTAAAACATAGTGGTTTCTGAAAGTTTCTCTATTAACCACACACGGGGCAAGTGCACAGCTAGCCATTCTCAGAGATGCTATTTAGAGATTAGCCAGTATGTATTTTGTCCTGAAATTTTAAACTAAAAATCTTAACTTCAGGACAATTCGGGACATTTTTTGTTCGAAAATTTGACCTGAAAAACTGAAATTCAGAACACTCTGGCTAATACTTAAATTACAGCCCTTTAGACGGGCTACCTGGTGTCATTTCTACTACCCCTCCTCATATAACTTTTTACACGGACTGCTTTGTATAATTGTTACCTATTATTACTAAATTAAGGTCTTTACTTTCATATCAGTTTTTAATAAATTTCTTCTCTCATTGATGAGAATGTTGATATTGAAACAACTAAGTCTCTTGAATAATCTTTAGGAGTTGAGTATCTTTTTATACATAGTGGACCAAGGATATTTCTTTAACTTCAAAGTGGATTTGAACAATTGAAAATGTGTGAAAAAGATTTTTGATTTTGTATTTAGTGGTAAGAATTGGAACTTGCAAATATAAGTATATGCTGGGTCTTAACTATGAATTTTGCTCCATCCTACTTTAGCATTATAAACCTGCTATTTGAAAAATATAACATAACCAAATAGAGGTAGCAACCAAAGTCCAAATGTATATAATGATGAATTGAAGGCATTTTCTGTAAAGTTTTTGAATAATGGAATATGATACGGTGCAACTATTTCTAACACTGTTTTGGTTTCTCACCGGTGTACGATATTCATGTTGGAGTCCCGACTACGTTGCACAAAATCTATTAAAGTGAAAGAGCTCTCTACAAGAATTTTTCTATTCCCAAACTTCGAGCTGAAACATGTAACATGTCACTCTAATTAATCTTATTGTTTAAAGATTATAGCGGAAGATCATTCTTAGATATTGAATGATTGGACACTGGCGTTATTTCATTTGAGAATGACATGTTATATGTTTCATGCCCAAAAGAAGAAAACGATTTGGCTGTATATGCACTAATAACCCATGGCTGCCAGCTATATTTTCAACTTTCATGTTTTATAGTATTACTATTAGACACAATAAATAAATACTACTTACAATTTTAATAAATTTCTACAAGCAAATCTTTGTCTTGAAATCCTAGATGAGGTTTTTCAGAAATAAGAAGACTCAAGTGATGATTGCCTTCTAGCTAGATTAAATCATTATGTCGCATTACTATTAAATAAATATATCATTTCAATTCAAGATGGACAATTTTCTTGACATCATTCATTTTCTTCAACATCAGTAGTAATTCTATTTTTGTCTAACCGGCTAAAAATAACATGGTAGGACCTAAGCACTTCTAAACGTTTTTTCAGAGTCATGTCTCTCCATATAATTTTTTTTGATGAATTTGTTACAAGTTTTCTCTTAATATAAGACCCATAAAATCCTTTTCAAAGTGAAAAACTTCAAATTCTAAGCTCCATAAAATCCTTTCCTAGTGCTAGATGCCATCATCGAGGTGCTTATAGGAAACTGTTATTTTGTGGCTTGAATTTCATTGTATTTTTAGGAAACTCATAATCCCTATAGGTTTAGGCAAACCCATTGTCCTAATAGATTTGGGAAAGGAAAACCTATAGTCCTTATCAAATTGCGAAACCTTTCTCTTATATGTTTGGGACCTTTTGGGATCTATATATAGGGGTTGTAGTTGGGGATCCTAAAGATTGTACTGTGCTTTTCTTCTCATTCATAGTGGAAAAATCTCTCTGCTTTTGCCCCGAGGATTAGGCTTAGACGAACCTTATTAAATCCTTGTGTTGATTTTTCTTCTCTATTTGCTTTGTGTGTGATTGTGTGCTAATTAACCCACGATATTCCGCAACAATTGGTATCAGAGCAAGGTTCAGGTTTCTACATATAATCTAGGGTTAAGATGTCTTCATCATCTTCAACAAAGTACGAAGTAGAGAAATTTGACGGGGGTTCTAGTTTCAGTCTATGGAAGATTATGATGAAATCGTCCTTGGTGTTACAAGGGTTATGGAAGGCAATTGATGAAAATTTTCCTGAAAAGATGAAAGAGACTGAGAAGGCAGACCTGAAGGAGAGGGCTTTGAGTGCGATCTTCATGAGCGTTACAGATGGCGTTTTTCGGGAAATTGCTGAAGAAACTTCTGCAGCAACAGCATGGAAGAAGCTGGAAGATTTGTATTCTAAGAAATTGCTAACAAATCGCATCTACCGTGAAACGGAGGTTATACAATCTCCGTATGAATGAAGGTACACCTNNAAAAGAGGGAAGCAGAAAATAGATAATTCGGCAAATATTCTTGACACTGGCAATAATTCTGATGATAGTGACTATGCAGGGGAAGTCTGTGCTGTGAGTTCTAGTCATGGGCAGAATTCTTAGTTTGCATCATACAAGCAAATGAGTGGGACTGTCTATATTGGAGATGACGATCCATTACCAGTAGAGGGGGTTGGTAAACTTCAAATTGAGAATGTTCGACGGAATTATCAGAAATATTGAGTGTTGGCATGTTTATCGGATAAAGAGAAATTTGATTTCTCTATCGAGTTTGGATGATCAAGGGTATAAATTTCACTCCGAGAATGGAATACTTAAAGTGTGTAAAGGCTCCATGGTACTGATGAAAGGTAAACTACATTCTAAATTGTATCATTTTCAGGACAGTGTAGTTGAAGGGGAAGCTGTTGTAGCTTCTGGGAAAAGTGATCTGAATCAGTCTCAGTTGTGGCACTTGCGACTTGGCCATATGAGTGATAATGGATTGCCTTTGTTGAGTAAGCAGAATTTGCTGAATGGGTACAATAGTTTTGAATTTTTGTGAGCATTGTGTGTTTGGTAAACAGACAAAGGTAAAGTTCAGCAAAAAGGCCGAGCACAAGACCAGAGACAAGTTAGATTATACACTCTGACTTGTGGGGTCCAAACAGAGTTCCCTCCAAGAGTGTTGCCAGGTGTTTATGACTTTGATTGATGATTACTCAAGGATGGTGTGTGTCACACTTCCTTTTTCGCTACTACACACCGGGGAAGGGTATAATAAAAGGAGTTTTTCCAATTAAAGGACAATCGAAACGGGATTCATTTATTAAGAGATTCAGAGTCGCCACTTGGGAGATTTATGGTGTCCCAAGTCACCGGTTTGAATCCCGAATTGAGGAAAGGGTTTGACTCTGTATTACAGTCGCGAACCAGAAATTCGGATAAGGAATTCTGTTAACCCGGGAGAAGGGGTTAGGCACTCCCGAGTTCCGTGGTTCTAGGACGGTCGCTCAACTGCTATATTTGGCAAAAATCTGATTTTAATACATGTTAAAACCTATAGTGCAATTTTAGAATTATTTACCGCCTTTAGTCAATTATTAAGAAA